AATACTGTATTGATGGCAAAATAACTATTTTACCAGATTATTTATGAAATGCTAGTGGTTGTTATTCTTACTTAAAATTTTGAAAATAAATACAAGATATCTCAAGAGATTAGAAAAAATTTTATTCATCACTTCAAAGTAAATTATATATTACAAATTTTGGTCAAAATAATATTATTAAAGGTATTTTCAGTAGTACCACAAAGTATCTATACCTGAAGATAAAACCAAATAGTAAACAGGTAAGCATACCCTGAAATCTACTCATGTTTAAAAATTCCTATACATGTTTTATAGTTATGAATTGGAAGGAACACACAAAGAGCTACATGATTTTCAAATAACAAACACATGAAGTATCTCCATGCTCAGAATAAATCATTAGAAAGATGTAAGATCTTTAATTTTTTAAAAGGCGTGTGAGTACCTTATTTTATACAACAAAATACTATACTTCTAGTTCTCTTTATAGCCCCTTTTCAACACTTTTGTGGGAGATGCTTATGAGTATATGGAAGCTTGGTGGGCTAAAGGCTTTTTTTTACCTACACTCCATTGGGTTCAGGAGTTATGGGAGTGGTGGGAATTCTAGGCTATATCTGAAAGTTCAGATTTCTCATTAGAAAATTTGTACTTGCCTTTTTGATTTTTATACAAAGGTATCACAAATGAATTGATCTGCTTCACTTATAAATTATAATTAAGATTCCAGTCTGATGGTGAGTAGCTTAAAATGGTATCTCATACCTTGCTGATTCTTGCTAGTTGAGATAGAAACAAATTTTGGGACAGTGGACACGAGTATTTTCAATTCTCTGACAATAAAAAGGCATAGATCATCTCCCCACCTCTGGTGGTTCTGGGAATTGAACCTAAAACTGCATACATGCTCTAGCCAAGTGTTCTGTCAGTGAGTTACACCCATATCAAAACACAGATAATTAAATAAAACTAAGTATTCCAAATTCTTTCATTTTCCAAAATCCTCTGGGTAAAGCTAGAATATTGAAAAATGAGTTCAGGTGAGAGCAGACACTAAATCAAAGAACTACTTGGGATCAAGAAACTAATTTCATAAGAGATAGTATTAAGAGACAACAGCTTGATCAACAAAATGATAATACAAGTTCTATTTAGAAAAGAGTCAATGTGGTAATGTCTTTGAATTTCATAAAACTATACAATTTGACATGCAATGAGTGGATAAAATAATTTTTTTCTTAAGCAAATCAGTTATTTAATCTTCTGAGTAGGGCATTTTATCCTGACCTACAATTTCTGTAATCCCATTTGAATAATTACAAAAAACAACATGGAACTAGGAAGTGGCACATTTCTTGAATATTTACTTAATCCTAGGTTTACACATTTCATGGACTCTTTCTAAAATCCCTTAGAATTAGGCATCATTTCCCCCAATTGACTCATGTAAACAGAGGCTGAGAGTCCCCCATCTCCACACTATAAATCCCACATAATAAAATGGGATTCAAACTCCTACAGTGCTCAAAAGCTTGTGGTCTTTTTTTTTTAATTTTTATTTTTTATTTTTTGACAGACCTTTATTTTATTTATATTTATTCCGTGCTGAGAATCGAACCCAGTGCCTCACACATGCGGGGCAAGTGTGCTTCCACTGAGCCCCAGACCCAGCCCACTTGTGGTCTTTTTTATACTAACATGTTACCTTCCATAATAGAGATGTTAGAGGTGACCCAGCCAGCCCAGGTTTTAACAATAGAGGAAGAGGAGGAAAGTAAAGAAAGTCACTGTGACTTTTTTTTTTTTTTTTGATGTGATAATTGGTATGTTCTCTTTCTCTTTTTAGAGAATTTAACCTTTACTTTATTTATTGTTTTTATGTGGTGCTAAGGATCAAATCTAGTGCCTCACCTGTGCTAGGCAAAGTCTCTACCACTGAGCCACAACCCCAGCCTTGTTTTCTTTCGTTTTTTTTTTTTTTTTTAATTTGTTCTTTTTAGATATACATGGCAGTACAGTGTATTTTGACATAGCATGCATACATGGAACATAACTTATTCTAATTAGGATCCCATTCTTGTGGTTGTACACTATGTGGAGTTTCACTGGTTGTGTATTCACATATGAACATAGGAAAGTTAGGTCCAATTCATTCTACTGTCTTTCCTATGTCATTTCTTTAGAGAAATTCTTTCAGTCAGTAACTGGAGTTTTTCCATGCCTTTAAGCAGCTACAACTATGAATATGTGTTAGAAGGAGGGAATGCATAACTACGTTTTTGAGATAAGATTTCCCCTAGGGATTTACAACATTTAGGATGAAGTAGCTGTTTATTTTCTAGAAAGTGAAACTTGGGGAAACTTAGAAAAATTTGTAGCCTTAGGCTTGTGATATTAGATGACATTTTAGATTGGAGCTGAGAACTTATTCCAAGTGTGTCTTTCAGATTCAACTTTGGTATTCAATCTATAAACCCCTGCTGAGATATGCAGTTTTCGGCCTATCCTATGTGCATTTGAGGCTTTGTTGTTGTGTAAGAATAGAAATAATGATTTGGAGTCACAAATTTAAAAAGAAATGAGCACAGTCTATTGTTAACTACTTCCATTCATAAGAAATTATCACTATAAATAACCAAAAGCAGAAAGAAACTAGATACTCCAATTTCCTTTCCAGCCAAGCAGAAAAAAAAAAAAGTCCTGAAAATTGCAATGTACTCTGTTTACATCTAACTATTGTTCTCTTTGAACGGTAAAGATCTTTCAGGAAAAAAAGGGCTTGAGACAGAAAGATCCACGTGAAAGGCTGCTTCATGAAGGGGAGGGACTCTTCAAAGAGGGGCACTTAGCAAATTGGTGCTGATGGTTCTCTGGGGAAATACAAGGGTAAAGCATCAATGGAATACATCTTGAGCTCTGGAGAATCAGGTACCAAAGGCTGGTATTTCCAGGTATGAACAATTTTATTTTTGGGAGACAAGGTTTTTTTTTTTTTCAGATAAAGAAGGTAGCCTAAAAATTCTGGACAACAAAGAAACATTCCTTCCCTAATCTCTTTGTCACCTTGGGGTTTCAACCCGAGCAAAAAGATATTAAGTGGGGAATGGCAAAAAAACCCCTGAAACTGTATCATTGAACACTGGGTAATTCCTCTGTCAAGCATTTTGAGAGGGTCAAAGATGTTGTGCGGGGATGTAAGTAATGAAAGAAACACTGGACTGGATGTCATGGCACTCTTGTGTTTTAGCTTCAGCTGTTTCTTGCTCAAAATATTTCTTATTTACTAGTTACAAAATAAGAGAGTGACAATGAATATTGCACTAAAGCTCCTTTTGGCTTTAAAGATTCAAGAGCAGGATGATTTTCACTTAAATGTTAAGTTATTTGGGGGGGATGCTGGCATGTATTTTATTACCTAGTGTTCACTTTTCAGGGTTTGTAGCTAGGGAATCAGGGAAACCTGCAGTCTCACTGCTCAGCTATTCTTAGGAATACTGAGTTTGGGGAACTACTATTTTATTCCAGGGGCCAGGAATCAGTTGTTGGAGTAGACAGAGGATAAGGATAAATGCTCAAGCTTAGAGAAGGACTGAAAGGCTTTCTCAGTGGACTGATTGTCAACTTGCAACTCAGTTGACTGTTCTTGCTTCTCAGGATCGTTCTGGAAACATTCACAGTGTTTAAATACCAATAAGTTAATATAAGAGATCCTCTTCAGGTAAACCAGGCAAACTGGAACTGAAAATGATCAGATTAGGAAAATGACTGCTGGAATACTTAAGTAAGGAAAGAAAAGTGATCTGATGAGATATTGATGGGGGATACACTTAACTCAGGGTCTCTGAACACTCAGCCAAGTTCAAATGTTAAGAAGCACAGGCTGAAGTAAGGCTGAATCAGTATCAGAGGTAAGTTCAGCTCTCTTCATATTCTGGGGAAAGGCTTTCATTTCTCCAAATTAGAATGGAGCCCAAGAGCTAAAGCTGCCTGTAAAACCAGAAGGAAGACAAGGTATCTCAGCAGCCTTGATCTATGTAAGGAAGAATATGGAATATTTACCAACTGGACTAAGATATCTTTTTTTTTTTTTTTTTTTTTTCACATTTCCAGATCTCATACTCCTGAGACAGATACAAGAGAAACAACATGAACTTGTTGGGAAGGATTTCCTGGCAAACATTTGGAAACCCCAATTTAGGCAGGAATGTGAAGAATATGGAGTTCCAGATGCCAAGCACAAGGAAACAGCACTCTAAGTGGAGTGGATTTTACCCAAGAACACAATTATTATCTCTTATATTGTTTTGGGGTGTGAAAAATGAAATTAGAGTTGGATATTTAAAACTTGGTTTATAGTCTATGGGCTGATTTTCTAACAAAGAGAAAGATGATTACGATGACCTGTCATTTGGGTACTGCTGGTAATCTATAAAGATCCCTGAAAACCTGTTTATTTATGAAAAGACCCAATGATTTTACATTGAGAATGCATCCTAGGAGAGATAGAATGTTGGTTACCATCCATCAAAGAAAATCTTCATGTTGTTTTTCAAATTAAGAACTTGTTATTCTTGTTACAGAAAAAAGTCTACCATGTCAGCCCAAGACAGTTTTAAGTAGCACAGATAAGATATAAGACTTAGCTTCTTTTCCCAAGGCTCACTGTACCTGCATTTCCCTTTATCACTCAATGAGAATACATCATTCAAGTGACTACTAGTAAAGAGATAGGGAAGTCATCCCAGCCCACTCAGGGGTATACCTTGAGATGGGCAGGGGAATGAAGGGTTCCAGAGTAGATGGTACTTGAGAAAGCAGAGAAGTCTGAGTTCTTGACCCATAGATACTCCACAGATTGAACAATGAGAGAGAGACACAGCTTTATAAACAGTATAGTCCAGGATGGGGAATAGTTGTCAGGTTCATTATTTACCTTTCATTTTGGAGATCTGAAGTAGTTTTAGAAGAGAAAAAGAACAGCTTTTTGCCACTTAAATTAGTTTATTGTGTATAAATTAAAGATAAGGAGCCGTGACTGATGAGTAAATACAATGAAGGGTATATTTAGAAAAATTAGAGGTATTTCTATTAATATCTTAGGGTCAACACTAATTTGGAAATGCAAGGGTTATAAACTGAGAAAATAGAAGATGTCAATGAATAGCTCATATTTTTCCCTAAGACAGTGTTTGAGAGTGAAATAGGAAAGTGAGTTTTGTAAAATCACATCTCTTCAAAATCATGTCTGGTAGCATGGTCTTGCTTGAATAATATACCAACAAGTGCATCAAGGGTCAATGAAAATATTCTCACCATAGTTGAAAATTTAAGTATCACAAAAGCATCAGCTTTCTTCTCACTTCAAATATGAAAATAGTAAATATATGAAATTAACTTGACAAAACTCAAAATGAGCTCCCACCTTCCCTTATAGAATAATACCCTATGCTCTAAATCAATTTGCATCATATGGCTTGTCAAATGAGTCTGCAACAATCTTTTCTTGATGCTACCTAAAGTCTGATCACTTGAAAATTAACTCAGATGCCACATTCTTAAAGGTAGCACTATTACACAAGCTTCAACACTAAGAACAGGAATACATTGTTCTTTTTCATGAATATACCATTCATTAGCTTTGCCTGATAAGCTCATCTTCCAGTCTAAGAATTACTTAACATTTAAAAAAAATTATAGGATATATTATATTCTACTTCAGCTCTTCAAAAGGTGGAAAATTTCCATCAAAGGAAAACTGGGGTGCTTACCAAAGGGACAGGAACAATGCAGACATTTGATCATTTGTCTCTGCTTCTCCACTGTAACCTAGTATTTTATCTGACACACAGAAACTAAGTGAATGCTGAATGAGATAATTAAATCAGATGGCTCAAGAGTTAGGATTCTTTCAGTCTTAAAACTTGTCATGTTTTTCCTTTGGATCCTGCTTATGTTTGACAAATAGACATGTAGTCTTTTAAACAGTTACCAACATTTTTTTTTTTCAGGAGAAAGCTTCTCCTATTTCAACTTATTATTTCAGTACAACTGGATGACCTCATCCCACTCAGAAATAGGCCAGATTCCATTGGACTGCACATTGGGGGGAGAGTTCTTCCAGTCCCATATTTTTATAGGAATCTTCCAGGTCTTACCATAGTTGGCTTCAATGTATTCGATGGTTTCACAGGGCACATTGACCTTCATGTCTACAAATTCAGTCCAGCACAGTGTAAACTTGGGAAACAGGTATCTGTGGTAGAACAGAGGCATTGTGGGGAGGGGTTAGGCTCCCACAGTGGAAGGTCCAGCAGGAGAACCCAGTTACTAGTGCATTTTTGGTTGAAGGACAGCCCTTTCCAACTAAGCAGCTTTGGGAACAGAGAAAGTGGACATTTGATATTTTTAATTGTCCAACATTCCTTTCTCTTCAAATGCTAACACCACCCCAATTTTCCTCCCTTATTTCCAGTTCATATGAGTAACAGCTAACCCCTCCCCTAAGATTCAGAGATGGGTAAGAAAAATCTAACAGTAATTTATAATAATCAGTTCAGAGATGGGAATGTATCCAAGTTATACAAATGAAAGTCAGTCCTAGAATTTCTGTGGGAAGATTTCTAGGGAAAGAGGTGTCAAAGCAAAGTTACCAAAAGATAAAGAAAAATAGTTTTCTTTTCTTGTACAACCTCAATTTCCTAAGGATATAGAATAAGCATGACTCCAAGTTGCATTCCCAGGTTTTTCCTGTGGTTCCATATCTTCATGATCCTACCTATAGTTTGTCTTTCTTACTTTTCCCTCAAATGCTAAAAAAAATCTTTAAACTAGCCTAAGGAATGTTAGTTATAGTGAATTTAACTATATCTATTGTAGAACTACAACAATTAGAAGGTAAGTTTCAGTAATTAAACCAGTACATGTTTCTTAAAGGCATTTTGGATCAAGTAGATTAAATCCAATGTATTGCATAGGAAAGCTAAAACTAGCAGGTCTGCTTGAAGTAAGGTGTGTGTGTGTGTGTGTGTGTGTGTGTATACACGTACATATATACCTCCCTATATTAGGTGTTGTTTTTTTCCTGAGAAATGCTGCTTCTCTTCACAACATAGAATGAACTTTCAGTAATGAAACCTGAAGTGGCAACAGAAGATATCACAGAAATTTAAAACTTTAGAGGATTAGCCAGACATGGTGATATATGCCTATAATCTCAGTTACTGAGTAGGGTGAGGTAGGATTGCAAATTCAGTCAGTCTGGGCAACTCAGTTAGACCCTGTCTCAAAATAGAAGTTCAGTGGTAAAGAGCTTCTTGGGTTCAATTCCTTAGTACCATAAAATTAATTAAAAATAACATATTAGAGTTTAGATTAAATAACATTGTGGAAATAGGACCTGAGATGTTCTCCAAGAAAAGGTCATTTCTTATATATTGTGCCTTTGAATATCGTGTTTTACCATCAAAGAAACATAAAGCCATACATAAAAATGAGACCGAACAAACTAAAAAGATAGCAACAAGTGCCTTCTACAAAAACCAATGGGTTGTGGCAGTTAAAGGGCTGTCCCAGCTGGCTTCTGTGAAAAGATAGCCACAGCAAATCTCATAGCTGAGAAAGAAACAAGATATAGCTTAGACCCACCAGCTGCTTGTCCCTATTTTATTCTGCATACTCCTATTCAAGGAATTGCTTATTTTGTCATCAGACATATCCACCCATCTTTAACTTCCACCCTCCCCAATCAAATGCTGGTCAGCAGAATAGCCACCTGTCCTGTCCTATCAAGTTGTCACACTGAAATTGAGTTCAGGTGAGATCATGGCCTGTCTAGTAAGTTAGTCCAGAACACTCTTCAAAGTATTAGCCTCTATAGTCTCTCATCAAAGAGCTGGAAGAGAAAAATAACAGAACTAGAATAGACAGGATAGAAGAGAATGCTAAAGATTTTATGAAAGCCATGTTTTGGACAATGAAGGATTTGTGAGAAAACCCAAACCATTTAAATATATAAACAACGTAAAAATAACACAAAGACAATTTAACTAGAATGTGAATTTTTATTCCCAAACAGAAATATCTCTAAACTTTCTGTGGCTTCTTTTCCCCAATTATTTTTCAATCCATTCAGAAACAAACAAACAAAAACCCCACCTAGTTTCCTAAGAGAAGAGTAAAGATAAACAAACCATAAAATGGGAACACTCATCATAAAACAGGATTGTTGAGAGGAAGGGGGGTGAGTGGCAGAGAAGAGTACATGCCACCCACCCTGTCAGGTTACCAGTAAATAATGCCTATGACTAAAGTACACCATGGGTCTGCAACATTACCTTGGGCTTTAAAGCTAGGATTAAGTTTGGCTGATGAGTTTGTACTTCAAAGCCCTTGGACAGGATCCAAAATGTGATTTAAATTTAGACTACAGCAACCCTAAATCAGAAAACAAGTTTAAGGGATCTTACTATCATACACACACAATTCTTCCATCTATTTTTTTTTTCATACCATGTTTACTTTGCTCGATTTTTGCCTAAAAAAGTAATTAGAGGGGCTGGGGATGTGGCTCAGGTGGTGGTGTGCTTGCCTGGCATGCGTGCGGCCCGGGTTCGATCCTCAGCACCACATACAAACAAAGATGTTGTGTCCGCCGAAAACTGAAAAATGGATATTAAAATTCTCTCTCTCTAAAAAAAAAGAATGACCATTGAGGGCTGGGGCTATAGTTCCGTGGTAGAGCACTTGTTCGATCCTCAGCACTACATAAAAATAAATAAATGAATAAAGATATTGTGTCCATCCACAACCATTGATATTCTTAAAAAAAAAAGTAATCAGAACTAAGAGTCAGTTGGTATAGAATATATTTTTTCTTAACAGAAACTCTTAAAATCCATAGCTACTTGTTGATGATGAAAGTAACTTAATTGGTTTAATTTTATAATACATGAACATAATTGCTAGATGAAAAGGAAGTTCTTCCAGCATTCTAGAAGACCACTGTTTATTATTACTAGTTAGCGAACCTAAATGAGATAGAAACACCATTGACTACAATTGAACTTGGACCTTTTTAAATGTTAAGTTTGCATTCAACTCTTGAGTTGGAAGAGTAGGCCATAATTTCATAGGAATTGCCTGCAAAACACAGATGGGTTATTCTCATTATAGATCTTATCTCTTCTAACTCCTAATTTCTTTTCCTTGTGTTATTCCAGTGCCTAACTTCTCTAGCAAACTGTTTAATACAAACTGGGTTAGCAGACATTCTGATATTAGTGGGAAGGCTTCTAAAGTTTATATTTAAATATGATTGTTCACTCTAGGTTTTTGTTATATTTTCAAAAATTCTATTTTGTTTAAAAGGCCTTTTATTTTTAATTACAAAACCTTATCAATAGTTTTAAGTATCATCTATTAAACAGCCATGCAGTTTTTTCTCCCTTTAATCTTATAATACTTTATTTATTTATTTATTTATTTTTAAAACCCGATTTATTTATTTATTTATTTTTATGTGGTGCTGAGGATCGAACCCAGGGCCTTGCATGTGCAAGGCGGGAGCTCTATCGCTGAGCCACAACCCCAGTTCCCTTCTAATACTTTAATATGGAGAATTATACTAATATACACTGGAAAAAATTTTTCATTTACTTAGGATATTTTCATCTGTGTTCTTTGGGACTATAATTTCCCTTAAAATTTTCTAGATTACCCATGTCCATATTTCATATTAGTCTCATAAAATAAATTGCCTAGATATCTCTTTTTTTATTTTCTAAAATAGGTTATATAATATTGGGGTAACCTATTTTATATGGTATGGTAAGACTTTCCTGTATATTTTCTAGGCATAAATGTCTTAGTAGGGAAAAGAAGGGGAAAGAAGGATTTTTGATCACTATTTCAGTTTCTTGAATGAATATAGGCTATGTGAATTTTCTTGATTTTATTTTGGTTAAAATTTTTCTAGAAAATTATTCTTTTTCACATTTTTGCCTAACTGTTGCATTTACTGTCCTAAAGTCATCCATGGTATTTTCTGAGAGTTGACATAATATAGTTAAGGACACAATGAGTAAGACATCATGGGTTTGAACACTGCATATTGTCTTTACATTTTCTCTTTTCTTCTCAGTCTTGCTAAATGCCATTTATTTTACTAGTTTTAAAATTAAATCTTTAAGAATCAGCATTTGGAATTGTTGGTTGCTTCCTATTTCATTAATTTCTTCTTTTGATTTCTTTTCTTCATTTTCCTCAAGCTGTCTGTATTGTTATTTAATTTTCTCCAAGTTCGAAGTTTGATTTTTTTAATGTGTATTTTTCAGTTAAGTGGTTTTAAGGCTATAAATTTAGCTCTAACCCTTTAACTATAGCTTGTATATTTTAGTATACAGTACATTCACATCTTTTGAGTCCTAAATATTTTATAACTTCTATTATAATTTCCTTTTTAATTCATTAATTATTAAGGAGTATGTTTAAAAGATTCCCTCAATTTAAAAAATTCCCACCAGACAACAACACATTAAGGAAAGCAAACTTCTGGCCAATATCCTTGATAAATATAAAAGTCTTAATAAAATATTGGCAAATCAAACAGAGAAAAACTTAAAGTATTTCCTCTAAAAACAGGACCAAGAGAAGGATGCCCACTCTCACCACTCATATTCAACATACTCCTTGAAACTTCAGCCAATCAGGCAAGAGAAGCTCATGAATAGCATTTCATCTTGGTGAACTGTTTCTTTGAAAGATTATATAACAGACCTTCTAATACTTTATTTCTCCCCCTAAATTCTATCTTGTCTGATAACCATATCATAGTACTAATTTTCTTTGGTTAATACCATTGGGTATCTCTTTTTCCATCCCTGTAATTTGCAAACTTCCTGTGTGATTTTGCATTGGGTATGCCTCTTGAAAGTATTATACAGCTAAATTTTGTTTTCCCATTTGAATAATCTTTGAAGTTTTATAGGTTAGCTTAATTTGCTTACATTTACTGTATTAAATTATATAGTGTACTTATTTTGAACTAGTCTTGTGCCAGAATACCCAGGCTCAAATTCTGGCTTGATCAGTAATTAATTGTGTGACATTGGCCAATTTCCTTGTACCTTAATTTTCTCATTTATAAAATGAGGATAATAACAGTACCTACACTTCAGAGGGATATTAGTGTAGAAAGAATAAATAAATGTAAAGTGTTCATATTGGTATCTAAAACAATGTTGATTGTTGCTATAA